AGGATTCTTCGATGAATAGAAAGTTCAAAAGAACAGCATTTATTAGAAATGGAAATCTTTTGTAACATCATTAACATCTTCACCGCAACATTTGATTAATTTAATGCATTCTTTAAGAATAAAAAGTATTAATTTTTTTCAAAAGACTCCAAACATTTGAAACTTCAGTACTCAAGGAGGAAATATGCTTGCCTTTAAAAGGATGTGCCATCTAAACAGACGTGTTATTATTCAGGTAGCTAGCAATTAACATTTCAACAGTCAGCAAGATTCTCCTCAAGCAGAGAGTCAGCCATGACAATTGCTGGCAATGACAAACCCTTGTGGCAGGCATGGCATTATAAACTGAAATCTGAAACAACTCCCAACACAACTGACCTTGTGTTGCAAAGTAACATTTGTTCACACATACTTGTAAATTGTAATGTAAAGCACTAAATCACTGAGGTTTTCACACTTGGTTTGATTGATTGGTCTGAGTTCGATTCCACCCTGCTCTTCTATCAGTCCTATCTTCTTAAGAAACCTGGTATCTGATCACAGAGAGTCAGGGAATCCGCAGACAGATGTTTATCTATGAGAGCTGACAGTCCTAATCTCTTGTCATCAGTATTCCTGCCCTGTGGGAGGAAGGTTGGAGACGGACACTGAAGTCTTACCTGTAGAAGTGCGATGAACAAGAAAAAGGAATTTGCTGCTCTTCTGAACTGAGAATATAGGAACCGAGGCAGGAACGTGAGGACATTGTACTTTGCAGTGCTGCAGAGAAAAGAGGAGAGGAAGTCAGAAATGTGGATACATCCCAAGAATGACCAAAATATAAAACCACCTGACATCATCTTCAGACTGGGCTGACAAAGTTTATCATCCATTAATTTCTCAGTTTTCAAATTTTAGTTGGTCACTATTATAAAAAGTGATATCGATAACCAGGAAGCATAACCATGATCATCAGCACAAATCAAACTTCCTCCCCCTTGCCACACCCAGTTCAAAGCCCCAGTGTCAGGCTCAGTGCCAGCCTCAGACTCATGCACAAACACACAGTGAGTGATGGAGAGAGGCAGTTAATGACCACAAAGAACAGCTAAGTTTGAGGAGGAGAGAGAGACTGGGCTGCAAAGAGCTCTGAATTTGAGTGAACTACGGTAGGAGCTTGCCAGAGCCTCCATCTCTCAAGACTGCCGACTGATTTACGCTCACATTAGGCCCAAGACAGCGAGGCCACTTCAGGCCGAGATAAACGTCCCACCTGCCTCTTTATCCACCCACTTGCCAAAAGAACAGCCAACCAAAAAATAAAAAACACACTAATTTCTATCAGAATATTAGTTTTTTTCACTATTCACTAATGATTCATTTAATAAAATATAAAACACAATATAATACAATAAAATACAGTATTCTTAATTAATGATAACTATAATAAAATCGAATACATATGTAAAGTAATATTATATAATACAAACACAACAGAAAATTATGATTATATATTACTCGCAGCCCACCAAGAAACATCAGCATTTTTATTAATTAATACTTCTAATATAATATAATATACTATAATATAAAATAAAATATTATATTATATAAAATAAATATACAATACAATATTCACAGCTACCAAAAAGCATTTAAATCAGAATACATAAAAAAAAAATATATATACAAATAATATAAAATGCAATATGTACATTACAATGCGCTACGTTGGAGAGACTGAGACAGTCTGTGAACGTTTCTAACATGGAAAGCGATACGAGTCCTCTCACGGTCTCTACGTTTCACTGATCCAGTCTTCACAGAGATCCTTATCAGACCACGGCACACCGTATCAGAGCAATTAGCAGCAGTGTACGAGATGGAAAGTTCTGTCAGGAGCCTGTCGTTCTCGCTTTTCTCCACTTTCTCTTGGCTAGTTTTCAGCTTTTGCTTTTTAGCAATCACAAAGAACATTCTAACTTCATAGTAACATGCAAGCATCCACTCAAAACACCTTAGCAACTGCATACCAATGGTACCACCTACAAGTTTTGAACCGATAAGCACCATTCAAGTTTTCAGTTTTTTAGAGCTATTGTTACTATTTTAAAATCAAATGAATCATTGTCAAACAATATATGAAGTTCTTCAGAATAAGCATTTTACTGAACGTGGTTGCTAATGTAAAGTTCATTTAACAATAATAATGAGCATTTTGATGGATGTTATAAACTCAACGTGATGTGCTTTCTCATGGCAGTGCAGAGAGAGCTGACCTGCGTCTCTCCTTCAATTTCCTCTACACGACCCCAGAAACCAGATCTTGGTCTGCTTCTAGACCTCAGCTGGCTGCTTAAACCACACGCTCAGCTCGTTTAGCACTACTTAGCGTCATCATGCTTTTAAACAAACATGTATCGCACACGAGTGCTTCAGGATGCTGGCTCATCAGGCAGTCACTGGGGTGACTAGTGTAAGCGCTCATCAAAATGAACCTCAGGGTTCAGCCACGTGCTGTTAATTATTTTGATGGAGAGAAGGTTGTGGCATTGTTGGTGGTGGCGTATTTACACACGCATCAACAGCTGTTTTGTCTTCCTAAGGCACACAGTGTGAGGCGCAAACATGCTTTTTTGGTTTAAAAAAAGGGCTGTGTTAGGAGATATGTTAATAATATTTGTTTGCTTCAGGTGTAAATTGGTGTAATTTAATATAACTTAGCATGCGCACTATTCCCAACTCCAGAATGTTGGTTTTTTTCAGGTAAAGCAAATGTTAGTATTTTGTTCAAGTGATCCCTCTTCCTTGTAGACTGGTTTGCTAGTCCTGATTGTACAGTACAACAGCAATGCTAAGGGTAGCAGTTTGGCCGATCAGCTCTGATAGGAAAGGTCTACCAAGGGTAACAACTTGAACTTGACCTACAGTTCATATCAGCCACACAATGGACTATGTATATTAAAGGTGCACTAAGCAATATTTGAAAAACGCTTCTGACCTGTCGGACCGAGTCCCAAAACACACTCGCGGCCAATCAGCAGTAAGGGGTGTGTCTAGTAGTGATAGGGAGATGAGAGCGCTCAGTGAGTGCACAGGACAGAT